CCAATGGTGGAAATAATGTGATGAGGCAGTTGAGAAGAGAGGAAGCGGTTTGGAACCTCCGCTACTGTCTAAGGGTGAAGATAGCTAACCTCACATACTTTATCTATTCCCCACTAACTCCTTCTTCTCTCACCTTACCTCCTATATATGGAATAATAATATATGCCATTTAGCAGATACTTTTATCCAAAGCAACTTAACAGTCATGCTTGCATACATTTTATGTATGGGTGGCTCTGGGAATCGAACCCACAACCCTGACTATGCAAGCTCCATGCTCAACCAACTGAGCCATACAGGACCACCTCTATCACCTCTAGTCTAAAGAATATTGCACTTTAGCACGTGCACTTTCATTAACCCTTTCTGACATTGATATTATGAAATTGCATCCAGTCTTCTTGCTTGTAAATATCCTTTGCTATTTTGGTGTTGTCGTTTTCTAATATGTGATTTTGTCTGTATGTACTGTGATTGCAGCTAAATTAATTGCCTCTTTGAGGACGTTAAAGTTATCTGAATTTGAATAATATTGTATCATAGTAATGGTGTTTTGACATAATGTATAATGGAGATCTTCCGGGGCTCTACTCGGCCTTGTCTCAGGGTAGTAAGTTAGTGGTCTGTTGACATCTCTTAAGTGGTGTGGGGGCTGTGCTTTGGCAGGGTGGGTGAGATTAACTCCTGCCTGGTTGGCCCTGTCCGGGGGTGATTCTGGACGGGGCCACAGTGTCTCACAACCCCCCTGTCCACAGTATCTATGCTGTATTAGCTTGTATGTGCCGGGGGGTTAGGGTCAGCCTGTCTTATCTTTTCAATGTGATTTTAACATACATGAAGTAGCTAATAAGCAACTTTCTAAAAAGTCAAACTAGAATTTGGTCATCCTTACCTGCTACTGTGGAATCAGATTCAACCAACCAACCAGTCAGACTAATTCAGGATTATAGGAGAGAGTTTAGGTCTCGTTTCTCCTCTGTTTCATTTTCTCTCTCTCTCTCTCTCTCTCTCTCTCTCTCTCTCTCCCTCAGGACTACCTTCCTCCCTCCCTCCCTCACTCCGACCGTGTCTCAGAACTCCCTCCCTCCCTAGGACTGTGCCTCAGGACAACCTGGCCTGATGTTTCCTGTCTGTTCCTGTTTGATCGATGAAAATCAAACCAAGCACTGCTAAAAAACGGTATAGGTCCTGTTTTATTTACTACAATATCAATATGCAGCCAATAGGCCTACTGTGAAAAGGACTGTAGTCATGAACCAGTCTTTCCCACCGTGATGATAACACAGGATAACTAACTGATATATTGGCCAGCCATTGCTAAGAGTGGTTTACAATAGCCTTAATGTAATAACATGATAACACAGGATAACTAACTGATATATTGGCCTACCATTGCTAAGAGTGGTTTACAATAGCCTTAATGTAATAACATGATAACACAGGATAACTAACTGATATATTGGCCTACCATTGCTAAGAGTGGTTGACAATAGCCTTAATGTAATAACATGATAACACAGGATAACTAACTGATATCTTGGCCTACCATTGCTAAGAGTGGTTGACAATAGCCTTAATGTAATAACATGATAACACAGGATAACTAACTGATATATTGGCCTACCATTGCTAAGAGTGGTTGACAATAGCCTTATCGTAATGACATGATAACACAGGATAACTAACTGATATATTGGCCTACCATTGCTAAGAGTGGTTGACAATAGCCTTAATGTAATAACATTGACCTGTTGAGCCACGCGTGGGAGTCATGCTCCTGCCTCTATCTTTACAGTCTTGCTTTCCATGTTGATTAACAGCCATAGATTGCAGCTGGGAGGAGACTAAATGACGTCATGCTACCTGTGTCACACACACACACACACACACACACACACACACACACACACACACACAAACACACACACACACAGGAGTGGGCCGCGCTATACCGTTCCAATGAGATATCCCTATGGGGACTATTAAGGGCACTTAAGGCAATAGTTTTATGTTTGTGTAAGCAGAATATCAAATGGAGAGCCAGGAATCAGCACGCAAGGAGGAAGGAAAATGATGTCACCTGATTGTGGGGTAAATCATTGTCCCACAGGTGGAAAAGTGAAGTGTGCTACTTCAATGCACCTTTCACTCTGGAAGTAAAAGTTTGTCTGCATGTCCGTGCCTTGTTTAATCCAGGAAACACAAAAAGCTGCAAGTGTTTGTAGAGCTAGTTTTCACTCTTCACCGAAGAGCTTCAATCGTTAACCACTGAACTACAGGATCAAAGAGCAGAGAGAGAATAATGTAATGAAAAGGTTATGTCCATAGTGCTGACTTCCTGTATACTCTAGTATATAAGGAGTTCTATAAGGAGTTGAGACAGTGGATTGTGCAGTCAGATGGAACAGAGTAAATAGGCATTTTAACGTCATAGATTTAGCCGGCTGGAATGCGGTTTTAACCAATCAGCATTCAGGATTAGACCCACCCGTTGTATATTATGAAACATCAGTCTTCTTGTCACAGAAAACAACTAACTCAACTATAGATTCCACTAAATTATTCTTCCAACAACTACACTGGCCTTTCTCTTCTTAAATCAGTCAGTTACCACTAATAACAGGCCACAAGAGAAATGATTGTCATTGTATGGCATTTACTAAAAATGACATGGTCTCTTCTGTATGATAACAGTTTGTGCGCCATAAAATGATGTGTGTGTATGGTAGGGTGGGGCGTGGGTCAGTGAGGATGAATACTGTTCTGTACAGTGTTTCTCTCTCTCTCTTTCTCTTTCTCTTTCTCTGTCTGTCTGTCTCTCTCTGTCTCTCTCTCTCTTTCTCTCTCTCTCTCTCTCTCTCTCTCTCTCTCTCTCTGTCTCTGTCTCTCTCTCTCTGTCTCTCTCTCTCTCTCTCTCTCTCTCTCTCTCTCTCTCTCTCTCTCTCTCTCTCTCTCTCTCTCTCTCTCTCTCTCTCTCTCTCTCTCTCTGTCTCTTCTCTCTCTTTCTCTGTGTGTGGCCCATGGCCCCGTGGGCCAGTCATAAGTGAGTGGTGGTTGATGGTTGCTCCGTCCCTGTGCATGTGACTGGGGAGCGGGCCGTGTGCGCTCAGCGCTCCACTATGGGCCAGCCCTGGAACAGCTGTGTCCGACCTGGGACAGCCCTGACAAACAGACCATTGTACCCAGTCATATCATGTGTGTGTGATGCAATGAGATCAAGAGGAGGGAGGCACACTTCAATCCACTAGCGCCCATCTACTAGCCAGACTGTGTAGTGTGTTTAGCAGAGAGAACACTCAGAACGCTGTTATTATCCAACTACTATTCTGATTACTGTTGGGAAACTTTATTTGTTTATTTAAATTAATCTTATATTATACAAAATACAAACAGGGGAAGAATTAGGGAGCACTTTGCAAATAAATAAGTAAAGAATAAGAAAGTTGTTGAGTGAAGAATGTTGTACGACCAGATTTTTAAGTATACAGTTTCCAGTCCAGACGGCTCAACCACAAATAAGGAATGAGTCATCAGTTTTCAAAGCAGCAAAAGTTGAGGCCTATCTTCTTACGGATTACAGATAAAGTATCTTTAAGTATGTACGTTTCTTTAAGTATGTCAGTATGTTTAAGTAAAGTGCCTTCAGAAAGTATTCTCACCCCTTTACTTTTTCCACATCTTGTTATGTTACAGCCTGAATTAAAACTAGATTAACTTGATATATTGTGTCACTGATCTACACACAATACCCCATAATGTCAAAGTGGAATTTTTGAAATTCATAAAAAATGAAACGCTGAAATGTCTTGAGTCAATAAGTATTCAACCCCTTTGTTATGGCAAGCCTAAATAAGTTCAGGAGTAAAAAAAAGTGTTTAGCAAATCACGTAATAAGTTGCATGGACTCATTCTGTGTTCAATAATAGCGGTTAACATGATTTTTGAATGACTACCCCATCTCCGTACCCCACACATACAATTATCTGTAATGTCCCTCAGTCAAACAGTGAATTTCAAGCACAGATTCAACCACAAAGACCAGGGAGCTTTTTCAATGCCTCGCAAAGAAGGGCACCGATTGGTAGATGGGTAAACATAAAAAAAGCAGACGCTGAATATCCCTTTGAGCATGGTGAAGTTATTAATTACACTTTGGATGGTGTAGCAATACACCCAGTCACTACAAAGATACAGGCGTCCTTCCTAACTCAGTTGCCGGAGAGGAAGGAAACTGCTCAGGGATTTCACCATGAGGCCAATGGTGATTTTAAAACAGTTTAATGGTTATGATATGAGAAACATTTGGATGGATAAACATTGTAGTTACTCCACAATACTAACCTAAATGACAGAGTGAAAAGAAGGAAGCCTGTACAGAATGAAAGTAAGCATGAGCATAGGCAAAATCCTAGAGGAAACCCAGGCTCAGTTTTCTTTCCAGCAGACACTGGGAGATTAATTCACCTTTCAGCAGGACAATAACCTAAAAGACAAGGCCAAATCTACACTGGAGTTGCTTACCAAGACGACGTTGAATGTTCCCGAGTG